TAGCCTGGTGTCCCTTTTTCTCATCGGGTGGTGGCATTCGTATCGTCTGCGTCTCCAATAGCTAGGTCCCTTGGCGGGAAGCCACTGTGTCGAGTTCTGAGCGACCAGCTCTGAAGTAGCAAGAGATAAAGCTGTGCTCATCGAGCGCTCATCAAAGTGGCCGATAGGTCCCAGAGTCTGCCAAGACTCTGAGTACTTACATGGACTTCTGTCTTCTTAGACGATCTTGTGCCTTGCTGTACCAAGAAGTTCGGCCAGTGATAAGTAGAACACACAGCTCCACGTGTAAGCATGCTTTCTTCTTTGCCGATGAACGAACAGAAAGTCAGGCAGTTTCATTCAACAGCCCTAGATGATATGAAAAATCAAATTGTTCTCTGGTTGTTCTCTGGCATCAGAAATGTCAAAACGTCTCTCTGACGGAGAATCGAATTCCGCTTTCCCGTGGACTGCTTTCTGACAGGCGGGTGTACTGATCGATATACTATCAGAGATAAAAATTGGCGGATGTCAGTGGTCACTGGTCACTGCCCATAAGTAATACAGTATTTGTGCATGTTTACAAGCACCTTCGGTTACTAGCAAGGACAAACAAGCAATGAGGCAGCCTGAGTTTGAATTTGAAAAGAGACGATGCTCCTTCGGATGAGCAGAACGCGGTAAGGCTGCTGAGGCGCTCGTGGAGAAGACCATTGGACGCTGGTTACGAGATGATACGCGTCAGATAAAATACACCCAAGGAGGCGGTTCAGTAATCGAAGTAGCAGAATTCTACATTGTAATAAAACATCGAAGGTCCTGCACATTTGGCCTTCAATATTCAATATCGAGCCCTACGATATATTAATCGATGGCAGATCCTGACATGACCTAGAGCATTCCAAACTGCTCAATATTCACATTGAACACACTCTCAAGAGGTGCTGATAAACGTTGATCTCCACGGTCTATCGGGAAAGAGCCCGCTCAAGCTCTATCGGACTGTTCACGAATGTAAAGCGTGTTATAGAAAAACAATCCGCATGAACGAGATGATAGTATGGTGAGCTAAAATGGATGTCAGACGAAAGAAGGCGAGCAGGGGGAACAATATACCACAGATGTTATTTGATGTCAAAATCCGGACAGATCGGATGGAAAGCTAGAATAGCACTGCGATACGAACAGAACACGATTCGTGCAGCCCCGCAGGACTGAGGGCGAATGGTGATAGCATGAAATGAGGACTGGACTGCTGTAGATTTGGCGCGGAGAATTACATGTGGAAATCTGCGGTGGCGTAGTTCGACCTTTTTGCAGAGGCGCATGGAGTGAAACCAACTTCAAGACGTACAGAAAGACATGCAGGATCATCGATAACCTGGCTACACCCTTTGAAAGAAAATATGAAGGTTTGACTCTTGCCAGCAAACAGCTTGGGCGTCTAACGAGACACGAGGCAGATTGTGGCAGTGAGGCAGGCCAAACACACAACTTAGAGCAAGACACCCACGATCCCTACAACAAGTCCACCTCGACGGTGCCTGACACTATCAGGCTTTACCAGAATGGCAGAAGGGCAGCTCGTCATTCCAAGGACCATACCCCTTCGAGCGTTTGAAAGTGAGGAATACAGATGGCCGAAACAACTCGCTGTTTTCCCCGATGGTCGACGTATGGTGACGTGCTCCGGAACTACGCTTTTGCTGTGGGACTTGAGGGACGGAATTATTGTAAAGAAAATGGAGGGGAATATCGGCGTATTGGAGACTATGGCAGTGTCACGAGACGGACAATTTATAGCAGGGGGTAGTAACGGAGAGCTTTGCGCCTGGGACGGAGACACTGGCGAGTGCCTCATTGCACAAGTCATCAAGACCAACTGCAACACGCTGGATTTTTCACCAGATGGTGCATTTCTGGCGAGCGGTTCATGGGACTGTACGACTAAGCTGTGGAACACAGAAACGTGGCAATTGCAAGGAAATCCAATCGATTGTGGTCATCCAGTCCACTGCCTTCGGTATTCGCCGGATGGTGAATTTCTCGCCATCGCAACATCCAAGGATATCCAAATATGGAATCCAAGCATGAGCTCGGAATGCATCACAAACTTCAAGGGTCACGCTGCATTCGATTCAGCGGAGAACTTGTCACTCGTGTGGACGCCCGATGGCACGCGGCTTCTCTCAGTGGGCTCTGACAAAGATCACATCATACTAGAGTGGGATTCATCGACCTGGAAGCAGGTTGGAGATCCTTGGATAGGCCATACTGACCGAATCAATGACATTGTCGTGAACCCTGCTGGGACTCTCGTCGCCTCCGCATCTAATGACTGCTATGTCCACCTCTGGCGGCTCCCAGATCGACGAGTCACAGCATCATTCAGGGCCCCGCGTTCCTACAGTGTGGGCTTTGTCACCTTCTCTACGGATGGCAAACGCATCCTCAGCGGAGATATGAGTGGCAAGATATGCGAGTGGCCAGTACCCGAGGATGCTTTACCTGATTCCAAGGCATGTCTCCACATGTTACTGTTAAGATCAAATGCTTCATACACATTCTAGATCCTCGCTAACATGACAACCCGCTATGCACGCATAACTGGAGGCTTGCCACAGATTCTAGCTATAAATGTGACAGCCCACGACGCATGCATAGATGGGGACTTGCATAACGCTGAAGAGTTGCTGACACAAGAGATTGACGCTGATGACAACAATTACATTTCCTATGCCAATCGCTCCTTTGTCATGGCGAGAAAACCCGACTGGGACCGTGCGCTTCATGATGCACTGAAGGTGAGATAAGGATGACCCTCTTTCAGACGAGCTAACTTTCATGGCGACATAGTCTGTCGGCATACAGCCCTCCTTGACAGGCTATATCTCCATGGGTGTTGCCCTTTGCGGAAAAAGGCACTTCCAGGATGCGATGCAAGCATTCGACCTCGCGTTCATGTTCACGGACAGAAATTCGAAGACCACTCATCTCCTTCTCTTGATCAAGGTACGTCAAATTTGTCTCGCACGCTCCCTACTAAAATATGATTTACAGGCCATTGCCCTATTCAATGGAAATCGACCTGACGATGCAATCCTCCGCGTCCAACAGCTAGCTGCTGCTTGCCCCAAAGCCGATATTCTCGGTTGTCGTATCGTGGAAGTAAATATCATGCACTCAACAATCCAGCTTCGTCCGTTGACACTGATATTGAACTTCGCACACCAGGTTTATCTACGATTCCAGATCAACGCCTTGGATAGCGCGCGTCCCAACGAAGCTGCTGACCACTTCACTGCCGCTGTCAACGCCATCGCTAGCTCATCATTATCCAACATTCGTTCTCATTACGAGCTTTTTGTTGTGGTACGTGGACATGATGCAATTGAAACTACTTTTATTTCACGCCCAACTGCGTGCTTTGTCCAGCTCTTCGGCTGGAACCTCGAATCATTATGGCAAATTGCAAATCAGAAACGGTGTCACGCATTGCTTCGCGCAGGTAGACTTGGAGAAGCTATCGAATCGTACCGAAACATGATGGATATGAGTGATGAAATCATGAAGGCCAGCTGCCTTGACTGGTCCACCGGCAAGTCTTCAGGAATATTGTCACCAGGCTGCGATCCTCACCCGCGCTTCACTCAGCTTTTAAACGAGATTGTAGTGCACTCTATGCTGCCGATGGAGTTGCTGACCTTGCTGCGAGTGGAGACGCTGCCCTCGCCGCGAGTGATTACGACAGAGCCATTGAGTTATATTCGGTGGCGATTGACTTGGATTCTGCGAGCGATACTATCTTTTCCAATCGCAGTAAGGCGAAGTTAGAAAAAGGGCTATGGGTGGATGCGCTTGTTGATGCGCAAAAGGTACAGCGTCAGCTGTATCTATTGCTTCTTACTCATCGCTCATTTTGGCGAAACGTAGGTCGTCGAACTCAACCCTTCATCCTATGTTGGATACAAGTTGAAGCACGCAGCGCTCAATGGCGCTCAACGCTATGATGAAGCGATCGAGGTTCATCAGATCATGCTCTCCAAACTGGAGGATGATCCTGACACGCAAATACAAAGTAAGCACCGAATGATACATACTCGACATGGTTGACTCTATTTCCAGAGCTGCGACAGAAGTATATCTCTGCGTTAGAAGTAGAAGGTGCTGTTCGAAAAATTTTCGAGGCTCAAATGGAAAATGCCCCGCCCCGTCTACTTAATACCTATTCTGGGCGCTTATGCAATCGAGAGGCGCAGATGAATGACTTCAAGACGAGCATGGAGTACAAGGAGCTTTTGTCGTCAACAGTAACACATGTAGACCTCCAAACGGGGCGCATCCAAGATGTGGTGATGTCATACTTCTGTTGGGCCATGCTATCCCATAGGTGGGAAGGGAAGGAGCCCCTGCTGCACAACATCCAAGACAAGATTGTGTACGACTTAAACCCTGGTGGCGGGTTCGCGAAATTACAGTCATTCTGTAAAGTTGCTCGGGATGCGGGGTATCGCTGGGCGTGGATGGATACATGTTGCATCGACCAGAGTAACAACGTCGAGCTCCAAGAATCGGTCAACTCCATGTTTGTCTGGTATCGCCACTCAGCCCTCACGATCGTCTACCTGTCGGATGTACTGCCTTCATCCAAACCTGGCGCATTGGCACAGAGCGCGTGGAACAGCAGAGGGTGGACGGTTCAAGAATTTCTGGCTCCCAATATCGTTCTCTTTTACCAGAAAAATTGGACTCTATATCTCGATGACTGCTCTCCAAACCACAAGGACTCCGTTGCGATCATGCAGGAGTTGGGAGATGCGACGGGCATAGATGCACGGGCACTCGTCGCCTTCCATCCAGGGATGAACGGCGCCCGAGAGAAACTCCAATGGGTATCGACACGTGTCACCACGTTGCAAGAAGACATTGCATACTCATTATTCGGCATCTTCGGTGTCCACTTACCCGTCATTTATGGCGAGAAGAAGCACAATGCGCTCGGGCGGCTCTTGCAGGAGGTCATCGCGCAGTCGGGTGACATCAGTGCCCTGGATTGGATTGGTAAATCATCTGAGTTCAACAGCTGTCTGCCAGCCGACATCACTTCCTACGAAGACCCACCATGCAAACTCCCATCTATGCTATCTGCAGATGAGATGCAGACATCTGTCTCCTCGCTGCGACATGCTGGGGCTGTCGGGTTGGCTTCGAAATTGTACAGCACACTTGACTCCCTGAGCGCTCCCCGTTTTGCAAACCGCCGGCTTCATCTCCCTTGCATCGCATTCTCTGTCAAACAAGTCAGACGGCAGCCTCGTCAAGGCCAGGAGACATATACTACGTATGAAGTCAAGGCAGATGGGCTTCGTGACTTGCTGATCACCACAGAAGACAAGCTAGTTCAGTTCTCGCAGGCAAGACCCATTCCGCAGACATTCTTGCTTGTTCTTCCGTGGAATCGCTCTCTCCTCGAGCTGCCCGACTTTGCGGAACTGCCTGACTCTGCGGAGCCGTCCCATTCTCTAGATGAGTCTCAGAGCATGGAAGATTATTCAACCCCGCTCGAGTCTCCTTTACATGATTCGTCCATGTCGTCTGCAGAAAAAGGGACGGATGATTCAGAATCTCACTCGCGAGCGTTGCGATTGATTGTTCGCCTTGGACAGCCGTTTGGCGCATTTTTACTAGCGCAGCAGCGCGGCGGAGAATACAAGAGAATCGCGTCAGACCACGATATCATTGCACAAGCTAAAGATGTGGCTTCTGTTAACGGTATGATGAATGTCAGGACTTTTGAAATACTGTAGTTGTATGAGCATCTGCGAGGAATTTTCAATTTTACGTCGACAGTTACCTTTACGATACCGCACATATACGGTTGACTTGCTCATAATGCATAGCGTCGGGACCCCTCCAATACCTATGCAATAAGAGATTTATGCATGACTGGATCTGTGACACTAGCCAAAAGTGTGACTATGCAAAATACCCACGAAGTAAAAAATGAATGTAACGTAGTCTGCCTCTTACACTAATTACCGGTACCCTTCAAATCGGCACTCCGTAAATGACCTCTGAATGCTCGAAGTAACTTCGGAAGCTCGAGTGACCCCTCCCCATCCCACATTTCAATGCAGGCACCTTCATTCGTGCATACGGGGCAGGTTTCTCGCCCACGAGACGCTTAGAGACAGGCATAATGTGTTATTATTATTACAGTTGTCCCTCGTTAGCTTATACTTATATTGCATATTGGATTGTCGCGAGAATGTGGACTGAAGTTAGTCGGTACATATACACCACACCACTATAATAGCAACCTTACAAGCATATCTATGTCTGTGGACCCTGCATTATGAGAAAGTCAACTGTACCCCCAACTTGTACCCGGATTTACCACACGCTATGTAGCTCACTAGTGACCACGGGAAACGACTTGGTGAGAGTATGATTATACGCATAGTAGTACGCACCGCCCGTTAAAAGTGAGTTTGGATTCATTGAAGTAGTGCATGCATGCATGATCTCATCAATTAGTATATACTCGGTATACAACTCGTTTCATACATGAAAACGAACGGCTCAATTCATTCCTCCAAACTTCTCATCTCAAGATCCTGACTATGCTCCGGATGGTGAAAACGCATCGTCTCCTGTTCCTTCTGGTCATCCGACTTACTATGGTTCAGATGACGTCCATGTGAATGATGCTCCCGAAAACTGATTACGAGCCGAGGGACGAGCACAGAGCTTTGGTTTTGCGTGTACGCTGTGACCACGGCAAAGTAAGTAGACTGTCAGGAGGTTCGATCAGCTTGCTACGGTTGTTCAAGTGAAAGGCGGACGCACATCTTGTGGCTGGCCCCATACACTGATCATAAATATGACTGTGCTGATCACGTTTCTGTGGAAAAGACACGTCATGGAATGGTGAGCACGGTGAGCAATGGCATGCCTCACAGTAAGAAGTAGAGTATGCTATCTTGCACGAGAATTTTCATGAATTCGTTCACTTGCCACCGATGCAGCATTTGTCGCATTTCTAGCGCATGCTGGGTGAAGCGGCCGACGGCAAGTGCGAATTGCAAAACAGAGGTGCAGAGCCCAAATATATCGTATGCCAGCGGGAGACTGGAGGCTGTGTTGACGCTCGGGCCGCACACGTTGATGCCTGATAGGACGAACTCGGTGGCTTGTGTACAGTAAGTTATCATCAGCGTACTAACAGCATGTGCTCACCAGAAATACCACTTTTGGGACCTAGCACAGTGACGCCCACTGCGATCCCCAGTCCGGCGGTAGCAAGGAAGAATGTAGTTAACAGAGCCAAGACTGTTCTGGACTGCATGTACATGGCATAGATGCGCATCGACATAATGGCTAGACCGTATCATTGAGTTGCCAAGTAAGAATATAAGCAGTTCATCGTACCCTGAGATGTCATTTGAAAAACAAAACTTCCCCAGTTTTCAAAACGGTCAATGGCAACGCCTGCGAATTCATCAAATTGGGTGTTAGAATCAACAACACGAGTGAAGACAGACTTACATCTGCAATAATCAGCGCGAGTTGTCAAGTCAAGTCAGTACAATGGTAAAGAACATACGCCTGTGACATGACGGATGAGCGTGATCTCAAGCAAATTTACAGCGATCTCACTGAAGGTGACATGTATATGTTTGCATTGACTGGACATGAAAAGATGATGAGCATTTGCCACCTGGCGAAGATGATAAATTTAGAAAACTGACAGACGAAATAATTCCTGGAAGAAAAACACGCTGAGCAGACTCCTCGGATCACATACATTATACACGCACAACGCAAGTATCATTCCAAGGTAGCGAACCTGTACAAATTCCGATCACAGAACTGTCAAGTGGCAACAGTGCGAGCGCCGAACTTACGTACCACTACGTATAGGCTCGACATGATGGACCACTGTGCCCTCTGTCGGCAGTGAGAAAAACAAGCTGCTTAATGCACTAGCTCATGGGCTCACCCAGATGTGGTTGACCTAGAAAATCGAGTTGTGATAATGATTCACTTCCTTTGGGAAGAAATCCTACCTCGCGCGTGAATAAGAGTGCTTTGTTTCAGGAGTGTGATTAGACGACATTCAAGCCCTATGATTCAACGTCGATACACTTACAATAATCATGCCACACGACGGCGACGGCAGCAACTAACAGACAATTAGATACCTTAAAGGAAAGGGGGAGACAAGTAGCACTTACTGCTGCAGAAATTGCTTAGCTGAACGGCCTGCAAGGTCGGCCACCAGTCTGGTGAATTGTCCACAACAACGCCGCTCATGATATTTCGGTGGGTCAAAATACGAGGTTGCCCACCGATTTTTATGTCTTCTCTGTCAACGACTGTCGGACAGCATTTGGAAAACTTATCATCATATCTGTCAAACATATAATTCTTGCTCCGCGTTGTCTGCGCGCATTGCACTCTACGGGGGTAAAACGAAACCCAAAGCCAAGATTTGATGGGCTGGAATATGCTGGATTATGACTGTTGCAGGGTCGCATATGATTGTCGTGAAATCCTTCACGTCATCGCCTGCGTTCAAGGGGAAAGACGTGAAGAAAGTCATCTTAGATGACACAGATTCCAAGCTAGAAGATCCTGATCCGGGCAGGCATTTATGTGATCCGGTGTCCAGTGTACTGCCCTTTTGTGATTGTGATCCATCAGCGGCTGGTTACAGTGGCACCACGGCCCGCAACCTATGACAAGAACAGCCAGTTCTTTCCAACAAGCCATCATGATCGATTGATCCATGTCAGTTTTCTGGAAGAACGTGGAGTGTCTGCGTTGGTGACCAGTACTGGACGGTAGAGCTGTAAAGAATCTGAAGTTGGTAGACTGGGAAGTGTCGACACAGTATGAAATGGGTCCTTTCATTCATTAAATGCGATTCTTCTCCCTTTGCAGTCACGCTCGAGGCGTACTTGCTATTTCCACGACATCGAAGATGGATTGTTACATAGTGGTCTGATGAGAGAACTACTACTTCAATAAAACTTTTCGGCTGTCCCCGAGTGCTGATCAAAGTACTTTCGGTTAGTTTTTCGCAGGTGCTATGCTGGTTAGCAACTCTGAGGTCATCGAGCATATGATAAGATAAGTGATCAATCAATGACGAGTTAAACGTTAAACTTGCGTGCTTATCAAAAAGCATAGTAAGCAAGCCAGAATTCTCACTCAGCCTCATAGTATGTGTGAAGACTGACCTTAATCTGCCACAATACAACTATAAAGCCATCTCCCATTGGGGGTCAGCGGTCCCTTCATCCGGCCCGTATACTACCATGTCGATCCCTCCATTCGATACCACCGCCTACTCGACCTACACCCAGCCACCTAATCCATCATGGACATATGGTCAGAGAATCGACACCACCCCTGCCGGAAAAGCCTGGGTCGCAGGCGAATCCGCTGGGTGGAAGGTCTATAACACAGCAGAAACAGACAAGGCGTACGTTCTCCTCCACCTCGATCTATTGTTCGTTCAGCATCATGATCGCGATCTCTAGGGATATGTACAAGCTCCTGATTTCAGGCATCGTACCACGCCCCATCGCATTCGTGTCCACGATCAGCGAAGAGGGCGTAGAGAATCTTTCGCCGTTCAGGTAAGACGCACGTCCGTTATCTAACACGCTCTGCTTACCCAGATCGCACCATTAGTTGGTTCAACACAGTGAGCAGTACACAAAAATGTCTTCTCTCAGGTCATGAATGCCTTCCCATAGGTCACCAACTCCCCACCTATCATCTCTTTCGCATGCGTCCACAGCGGCCCGGGCCGCCTAAAAGATACGACTACGAACGTGTTGAACAGCCAAGGGTTCACCGTGAACATCATTAGCGAGCCGTTCATTGAGAACGCAAATGCAACTGCCATAGACGCCCCTCCTGACTTCGATGAGTGGTCTATCAGCGGTCTGACAAAGGAAAAATGCGTATGTGTGCACATGTATAACATTATATCTGCGCTAATAACCAGGCATTCAGGTGCACGTAAAAGCCTCCCGCGTCAAGGAAAGCGCGTTTAGCATGGAGTGCGAGGTATTTTCATTTACTACTATATCCGCTTGCTCCATGACCATGCTGCTTCCCGACAGCTCTACAAATCCATAGATATCACCCACCCCGTCACAGGCGAGCACAACAGCACGCTCATCCTTGCACACGTCAAGTACATCCACGTCCGCAAAGACGTCCTCACAGACAAAGGTGTCGTCGACCTCACAAAGTTCAAGCCTGTCGCGCGTTTGGGCGACATCTCATATGCCCGCATTGGAGATGCATACAGGATCGCCCGCCCATCATGGGCACAGGAGGAGGCCAGGATACAGGACGCGTTGGCGTCGCTATGAAATAGAACGAAAGGGTGACATGTCATTTCTTGGTAACATACCTGATAATAGAGTAACATTACTAGATCATCAGATGGGCAGCAGATATTATCAGCACCGCCGGCACGGGAGCAGCCATCCAACTAAGTATTTCTCATACCTAAGAGCATTCCTCATAAGTAATGATTAGTAAGGCTCGTCCAGCCAGTGACGAGCGCCCGCATTGGATAATGACTAAGCAGCGCTACTTCTCCCAGTCGTTCCTTGAACCTTCTAAATAACTACAACTACGCAATGAAGAAAAACAGCACTGGCGGCCTTCTTGTTGCACATGGCTTCGTCCGATCTGTGTGCATATTTTATCTGCCCTCTGAGGCTCTCACAGACACGCTGTGAGACAACGTGGCACCGACTCGGACATCGTCTTGCAATTTCTTTCCACGCCGACTTACCTTCAAGTTCTCTGAGAATGTGTTCTTTTACTTCCCAGTACCAGCGTGTAAACGGCTTGGCGATTTCACAGCGTAGCAATTGTAATCAAACTTCTGACGGTAAGTACTAAGTAGTGGGCTTCATACTACTAGTACATATTAACGACTAACGTTCTTACCTTTGCGGCAATTCAATCAGCATCGTAATGGGCAGTCTTGATGAAGACTCTGTAAATTTGCGATTCGTGGTTGTTTATAGGTCTCCAACTTATTCGCACGTGCGATCAACGGACGATGCTGTTGATTTTGGCAGGAGTACATTAAGTATCTTTGTGATCTGGGCCCAGACTAGGCTGTTATCGCAAGCTCCGTAAGCCTGACGACACTCATCAAGGAACATTATCTTTCGAGCACTGGAACTGGTGATTATCGGCCGGTGGCTGCATTTTCAGATAGGAAGAAGTTGTGGTTTTTGATTTGCTACCAGCTCTTTGATTCTGGGATTCGGAGGCTAAGCGTCATGTGTTAGTTCTGATGTTTAGATTCCGACACTACCGGGGCTTCAACAATTGACTCGTCGAGACGCTCTTTTTGAATGCAATATTATCGGCGTATCGCGATAATTCATGCGTGGAGATCTCTATGTTCTGCCTCCTCTGCTCAAATTGAACGACGCAGTAGTTTCTGTAGTCATTGTGCTTATCATATCTGTATTCACGGCAAGTAATTGGACTGATCGCTGCTGTACCTTGACGTTGATTGTCACTGAAGGTGTCCTATGTAACATGCAAGTGGCAACGCGCCGAGATCATATTTCCGACTATTGATGCCTACATCAACTTGTTCTGCATAGCATACTGGCAGTCTCGCATGCTTCTCATTTTGCATCAAAGTAACCGTGGAGCAAACACTGCTGACTCGGGAGATTTCAACGTTCCAACTCGCATAGCCTGATTCTCTTTTCGGGATTATCTTGAATTTCCCGTCCGGTGTACATTTTTATCTCCGCATTTGGGAAATACGGTGCCGCTATCAGTCCCACGAGACCTACTGCTGATTTCCACTCTCAATCTGTACAGTCTTATTATTTAAAGCTCACACGACAAATTCAAACCATGTAAATATATAAGAGCGAGGCCCGCAGTCGCTTCTCCGAAGAGGGTGGAATGGACACGCCGCTAATCAATACAGGAATTCAGACGGCGAAGGTAAGAATATTTGAATATGTTCTCCGGACGAGGTTGGCTGATTGCGACTACTCTAGTATTGCAATGGTACGTGGACTTCATACAGGGGTTGTTTCAATTTTGATCTTGGAAATGCGTAGTGGCTGGCCTAGGGGTTTTGGTAGGTCGAAAAGCCATGGTGAAACAGTATACCCTCTCATGCTTCATAGATTTTTGACTATTTTTTAACCCTGGAACGTGAAGTGAGTATTTCTCCATCGCGTGTCAAACACCCCTTGATAACGGTACAAGGTTCGGTGGACATGGACCAGGCGCTGGAATATCAGCCGTGTTATTTTTGTGATTTCACGCTACATGCCATTTGCAGCTGCTGGCATGACTTCATATGGTGAGTGCCTATCTGTATCTCCTGGTACGTGATACCGAATGGTAGCAATTAGCTGCTATTGCTACACGAGCAAACGAGGATGTTAGTGTGTATGCTTCTATGGCTATTGCATGAACTGATGAACACCGATATACAGTGCAATAACTTCAGCTCGGCTTCAAATGGTGATCAACATCCTGAGCAGCCAACATCTTGTTACTAATTCCTACGGCAGCAATCCACATCATCAGTATCGTCGCTGCTGAAGGTTCGCTTCATGTCTGGGTGTCGTCTGGGCCTGAAATTTATCGCGGTTTAAGGTCTTTTGATCATTCGTACATATGCATTCTGGCAATACAACAAAAAGTTCTTGGCAGTGTTATTGGTCTTGGCATCAGTGCGTCGGTCTGGGCTTGTACTCATCGTCTATTGATATCGTAAATTAGATTTGTATAGCGTGTGCTGTCAGTATCACACAAGTTGCCAATAACCCATCGTCAAGTGCGTCTTCCTTGTTCTTCTTTCATCATAGACAACAACTTGAACCCTTATTTCAAAGATTCCCCAACAAGTGACTGCACTTTTCAAGCGGATCGCAGCAGTGCCATTCAATACGGCTTTCTCGTGGCCTACCAACTGTGTAAGGATATCTTGTTCAGTCCCATCTTAGCGCCATTTCCCAATCCCATCCACAGTGCTGATGTCTTGCATGGTGTTCAAGAGATATCGAGACTACAGAGATTCCGACAGCCGTCTCGTGAAGGTCATCTTCAAGGGCGCCATGCGATATATGACTGCCATGATTTGTGCGATGAGCCTTTGTTCGATATGTCATCTCCAGTGCTGAAGCCGCTCCTTTAAGTTGTTTCTGTGGTCAATATAGTGATTACGTCTGCGGTGCCGGTAAGTTGCTTGCGCTCATATGCTCCTACAACATTTTTACTGATCTGAGGAAGATATCGTATGACATGACAATGGACGTGTGCGTAGCAATTCGTTCAGGATGGTATGATGAAATAACTGATGCCCTATGGCAGGCCACAAGTTGTGCTTCACAGTGTGTTGGCATCCCGTGTGCTTTTTAGTTTGCGCGAAAGTGACCAAGAGGAAAGGGAGGGGGTGGCATTCATGACGTCCACATTTCGTCCGGACCAAATACACGCTTCACCTGAGCTTGATTGATTAACTCATGGTCCCAATTAGCATGTATTCATAGCGTAGAAGAGAGATCATCGATCAAGGGTCACCAAAGTGGAGAAGAGTGTCTTGAAGCATGTCCATCTGACGCTATGTCTGTTCACAAGATCTTCATTTCCCAGGTATCCGAGTGTGTGATGTAATGATGAAGGGATAAAGGCCTACGGCGATGCGGCGTGTCAGTCTACTTATCCCTATAATAGAGATATTAAGCACACATCGCCGCCGGATGTCGTCTAGCCCCTAATATCGAGCAGTCGCCGGATAACCTCGAACGGTTGAGCTTTCCAAATTCCGCGATCTGTTGAAGCAGGATGTCATACTGGAGGACACTTCATACTAGCCTTTGTACCATCTTGCCTCTTCGATCTATATTAGCTCTCACCATCGCAGTGCCTTCTATCATCGTTATCAGAATCCTAAATGCCACACCATCTAGACAGTGACATCCGTCCTGGTTTGCACGGTCGGGGGGAACATACCATTTACTTCATCGACGCGCCCGTTGTGAATTACACGTCGTTCCGCCCAAAGGGGCTTGTACAATGTAACATAAAGGATAATAATATATGGTAAGACCTGTGTGCAGTAACCCGCGGCCGCTAGGGCGACCCTCTCCACGAGCCACAATGCGTAACCAAGTTCGACAAATTTTCATGAAGTCGAAGCTCGATTGGAACTGCCGCGTTTGGACTCAGAGTCATACATGAGGTTGCGGATAACCTGCTCTGATTGCTTTCGACGTGCACGTATCGAGGGTGATGCATTTGGATCATCAGGGAGCGAAGTGATACAAGCCTGTGCGGAGAACTGCATCCCAAGGCGTTCCAGATCGGCCTTGTTCTCCATCCACCAATTATCCATGTCATTGGGGTAACCTTCCAATCCGGTGACCACAGAAGCGACTGGCACGCCGCCTGGACCAGCTGTGGAGCCGACGATATCAGTGAACAATTGATAATCCCTTACCAATGCACTCTGTGGCGTCGTTCCTCTCATACAATATAGGAGAAGATGCACCCCACCGTCCCTGTGCAGCTTTTTATATGACCTTTTGAGTTTCCATTTTGCAATAAGCCTCCGACAGAAACACATCGATGCAATCGAGGAAATTTCCCAAAGTTTGAAGTGGCACCCTCCAAGGTTAACATCGTTTGCATGTTTTAGCCTGGAATGAGCTGCGTCTGGCAATGTATCGGCCGGATTTTTCTCGTTAATCAATCTAATGATGGAACTTTTTCCAACTCCAGTCCCCCCGAACAGTAACACATTCAAAGGACCCTTGACAAATGGGAATATGAGTACATGTGAAACAGTGCAACAATAAGCACTCACCATCGTTGAGACTCCGGGGCGGGGATGGAGTGGGTCGTAGTGATCCTGAGAACCAACTGGTTGTTGTGCACCGACTGGTGGATCTGGTACAACGAGCATGTCCTTGTGAGAGTAAGAATTCGGCCCTGCACGAAGAGACAAGTCATAAATGAGCCCACCTCATCCTCGGGTGGATGCGTCACTTCAACAGCTAGTTGCATTGCACTAACCGGTGGACCTGGTACGACGGTCATGTCCTGTGAGAGCAAGAGTTCGGCCCCGCACGAAGAGACAAATCACAAACGAGCCCACCTCATTCTCGGGGGGATGCGTCCACTTCAACGGCTGGTTGTGTTGACACAACCGGTGGATCTGGTACGACGGTCATGTCCTGTGAGAGCAAGAGTTTCGGCCCCAGCACGAAGAGACAAATCATAAATGAGCCCACCTCATTCTCGGGTGGATGCGTCGCTTTAACATCTGGTTGTGTTGCACCACCGGTGGACTGGTACGATGGTCATGTACCTGCGAGGGCAAGAGTTCGGCCCCGCACGAAGAGACAAATCATAATGAGCCCACCTCATTCTCGGGTGGATGCGTCGCTTTAACATCTGGTTGTGTTGCACCAACCGGTGGACCTGGTACGATGGTCATGTCCTGCGAGGGCAAGAGTTCGGCCCCGCACGAAGAGACAAATCATAAATGAGCCCACCTCATTCTCTGGTGGATGCGTCGCTTTAACATCTGGTTGTATTGCATCAACCAGTGGATCTGTACGATGTTCATGTCCTGTGAGAGCAAGAGTTCGGCCCCGCACGAAGAGACAAATCATAAATGAACCCACCTCATCCTCGGGTGGAGACGTCACTTCAATAGCTGGCTGTGTTGCACCAACCGGTGGATTTGCGAGGGCGGGCATGTCCTGAGAGAGTAAGACTTTGGTCCTGCACGAGGAGACAGGTCATGGATGAACCCACCTCAGGCCCGGGTGGATTCATCACACCAACAGCTGGTTGCTCTGCAACCGCCAATAGGTCTGGATCTGGTACGACGGTATCGTCCTATGAGAGAGAATTCGGTCCTGCACGAGGAGACAAGTCATAATTTATAAATGAACCCACCTCATGCTCGGGCGGATGCGTTGCTTCAATAGATAGTTGCATTGCACCAATTGGTGGATCTGCCACGACAGGCATGTCCTGTGAGAGTAAAAAATTGGCCCTGCACAAAGAGACAAGTTATAAACGAGATCACCTCGTGCTCGTGTGGATCCGTCGCTTCGACAGCTGGTTGCGTTGCACCAACCGGTGGATCTGCTCCGACGGGTATGTCCTGTGAGAGTAAGAATTCGGTCCTGCACGAAGAGACAAGTCATGAACGAACCCACCTCATGCTCGGGTAGATTATATGTCACTTCAACAGCCAGTTTCTGTGCACCAACAGCTGGACCTAGTACGATGGGCATGTCCTGTGAGAGTAAGAATTCGGCCATGCACGACCAGACAGGTCACGAATGAACCCACTTCATGCTCGGGTGAATGCGTCACTCCGATAGCTGGTTTCTGTGCACCAACCAGCAGTGGACCCGGTACGATAGTCATGTCCTGTGAGAGTAAGAATTCGGCCACGCACGACGGGACAGGTCATAAATGAACCCTACAGTAATAACATCTACTGGTTGACTCGGAATAGACTTCTGAGTTTAATGTATCAGGATTTTGCCAGCGCGAGATATATGGACCGCCGAACCTGCAAGAAATTGATACCGATTTGATTGAGGGATTCAAGGACTTCTGTAGACTCCGGACGATCCACCGGCGCCCATGACCAGCAACTTTGGATTAAGTTCCAGATACAATCAGGGATGTTCTGGGGACGTGTGGGAGTGGCCTTTTTCGACAGCTGAATGGATATTTGACTTGAATTTTGGCCCTTCCATGGCATATCCCCCGGGATGATCTGGTGGAGAAGGCTTAGATTTGGTATAGAAAGACACAAGAGATCGCACCAAGAACATGATACTACCAAGGGAATAGATATCACTCATGAAAGTCGGGCGGGCGGGCGGAGATTCAGGCAGGAATTCGGGCTGAATATCACTTCTGGAAATCGGTCGTGCGGGATCGCGTATTCCCATGACTTCGGGCGCACGCCATCGAGAGTTTAAATCACGTGCCACAGTCGTAAGCCCTAGTTGCAATTTTGGTTCCTCCATAACTGCGGCGAGACCAAAATCTGTGAGACGGGGATTTCCAGAGCCATCGATCAGTACATTTCCCTGAGACTTACAAATTAGTACGACATATACAAAGAGACAACCATACATACGGGGTGAAGGTCTCCGTGGATGACCTTCTCCGAGTGAACTGGACAAGCATCAATAACTGAACAGCGCCTAGATAAAAATCGACAAACGATAATTGAACGCCGCTGGCGACGCCCTTGGCCTAAGTAGTAGCATGTGAATCGATGAACACTTATTTAATGTGATTGATGTGAATGAGGGACTCACCAAATCCAATACAACTCCAGCAGGAGTATCAGTAAGGGTCGTGGCTCGTGTCTTGAGGTATTCAAGTTATGTCCCGGAAGGCATCCATTCCGAAACGAGACTCCATAACGGCTCGGATTCGAATATTGCGATGCCAAGTAGCGGCACAATATAAGTCGATCCAGACTTGCTGAGCTTAAACCACACAGTGAGTTCCCGAAGCATAGCCTACATAGACCACATAGTGGAGTGAAGTGTCATTTGAGTCTGCACACTCCAATTAGCAGACTTACGGTCTGAAGTTTCTTCACATCTCTGTTAGGATCATTCAAGAATATCTTCACTGCAACCTGGTAGATATTAGATTGACTAGCTCGGGTGCTCGGACATCGGACGATCACAGACCTTCATTTTGCCTTCGTTGATGGTACTCTGATGAACACGGCCAAAGGATCCCAATGCCATTGGGTGGAGGAGAGGCTGTTTGATTTGAGACGTGAAGTCGGTAACTTTGAGGTCCCCTACAAGCACATTTCCCTCCATAGCGGGGACGTGAATGCTGAGCGCTGTTCTACGAGTGATCTTGTACGATGAGATAAAAAGTTATGCATGCAGTTGCTAGTACTTGCGTTTATAAGAAGGGGACTTCCATGCCGCACATTATAAGCATTGATTACCACGAGTTAAGGACTCTACTCGTGGTTACTAGGTGTTAGGTAGAGTCGTGACTACATGCTATGGACCTATGGTGCTGTCCGCATACACAGAGTTCACATAACACACTTGTCGCGTGCGAACCAACAAAACACCAGGCCGCAAGAGATGAAGGAACGAGCCAAAGATGCGTGTCATGTCAAGGCAGTCATGGAGCTCAATACAGTACTGTAGTACTAGTAGTATGTTTCTGTTTCCGTAAATTACATACTAGAGTCGGGCGTTGCCGAAACACCTTAGGTAACTTAATCGATGCCCTCCTATAGGGGTGCGTTCAACACATGTAGGCCCCTGCCTCCCTATCATTTGCCACTAGTACTTGCTGCTGTTTTCAGCTGTCACCAGCTTCTTGCACCTTGCAACGTCGCCGCGGCTGTGGTGCATAATCAGCGCTACAACTGTATGAGCGCGTTTCCCTGCAGCACGGTGGTGATCCATTCCTGGTGTCCCCCTCTATGTAGTAATAGATGCACATGTATGTTCCGGGGCCTGCAGTGCACACGAGCGCGCCCAGCCTCGTTTTCTCACTGTTATGCCCTGGTACCCTGGAATCTTCCCTATACACACCTTCTCCTCGTTGTCCAGCGCCATCACACAAAATGCGCGCTAGAACCACAGCTCTCGGCAGCCTGTCCCCACCCGGGCCACCAGCCACACCCACTGCCTTGCCTCCACACCAACCTGTGCTACCTCCGTCACCCCTTGCTGACTATTGTAGCTTGGCGCCGTCTTCCGCGGCCTTAGTGCACCGCCCCCTGCCACTCGCCACATCAAACCATGGGATGCCTAGGGCAATCCTTATCGTCCGTGATGTCTCACCTTTGTTCTAACCAATCTCTCAAATTTTAGAGAGCGAAAATGCACTCAAAGCCAGAGAGCAAATAAGGAAAGGGTCGAGAAGTTCCTGTAGATGCTTTGATCAAATGTTACATGTGGGTAAAAGACGGAGTAACTGCACTGCTTCATCACAAGGCGAATGGGCAAATTCTTTGGAATCGCTTTTAGAGCTGCGAGTGTATACCGAGTACATGGTTACACAGCGCCTCGAATGTTTTGCATCGTACCCACATCTTGCTTCTTGTGCCCGTACGGGTAGTAGGCGTTATAATAGACATTTCACCTGCGCCTGGTCGCTAGTGCATGCGAGACGCAAGTCGGAACGACAAAGAGACGAAAATCGGGGAATGAATGCAGTAGACGTTCCCTCAATATTGGGTGTTTGCAGGAGGTAGGAGAACACAACTGGGAGAGCAGCAGCGCAAGTGCACACGTTTCACGTGTGGGACGTAAGCGACGCTTACAACCGAGAACAGTTAAAATCATGTTAGAATGATATTGAGGGTAATAGAGCGCATCATTAGAAGATTCATGGAGGACAGCAAGCGGATAAAGATCAAAATTTAGGATGTGAAAGTTTTTTTTGCCAGAAACACGTGTCTCGACGATCTGCGCACGGATAAGTCAGTAATCAAGATGGAACATGGAGAGAGCAGTCGGCCACTTTCATAAAGAGGACGCGGAGACTCCAACGCAGCATACGGAAGAGTTAAGTGTATTGCAGGATGACCAGCACAAACACAGGGTAAACGCAATTCGGTTCGGCCTTCGGCCACAAAGAAACTATCTAGTATAGCCACCTCTGCGCATGGAATCAGGAGCCCTCTTCCACGGTGTCGGGGACAGGCATATCCTGAGATCAATTGCCGTGAGTCTGAGGACGCATGATGCATGTCAGAGTTCCTCTCCAATGGCCCAGGGGACACAGAGATAACTCTTCAATGAGACTCCTCCGAAATCGAATGCCTTATCTCCGTGTCCACTGCATTGTGCATAACGGATGGCATATTCTGCATGCTTGCATAATACGTGTTAGACTGTTCCAGAGGGACTCTGCAGGAATAGCCAAAGACGATCAGGATTCAGCATCGAGCGGGTCTAACTCGAGTTGCCGAATTTGAAGCAGAGATAGTGGATTTGAGAGAACTTGGGAAGGCGAAGGGAATCAATAACATGATGTAGGAGATGGTTGTGCAGAAGGTCATGACGCTGGAGCAGTGGCGACTGGAAATGAGCATGCCTCTGGCAGAGCCACTGCCTCCAGAGAGACTGAGTTGGTGATAGAATGCTCAAAGGCTCATAATGCTGACTAAGCTCAACGCACGAGTTGTGGGAAGCGGGAGGCAATAAGTAATCCATCTTCCTTCTAAGCAATCTAAGCGTACAGAACAGACGTATACTGTAGTCACTATTTAGTCACTATATTACACTAATGGTACATCCCGAGTGGGGTTACTACACGGAGACCTCCTATGACCACGACGGCAAATCTTCCCCCAACATAGACGATATAAAGTTTGGCAAGTTCGCCATGTGTGAATCGGTCTCCCGAAATTTCACCAAATGTCTAAATAACATTGCTACTTGTAGTCACTGAATATCATAGGAAACACCGGGCGTTTCATACGAGGTGATATCAACCAGATTGGGAAACACTGTAGCCAGGACTCGGACGAACGCGGGAGATGTCGCTGTCGACACCTTCGAGTGTCCGACATGCAGCTTTTGGAGAGCTGTTTGCTTGGGCCACGACCGATGGTCTCTGTCCGGTGCGCCTTCGCTCTGCCAGACGGGGGGGAGTGCGGGCCTTCGGGTGGCATTGAAGGTTAAATGTAGGACACGCAGCGATCTACATCGCGAGGCTAATGAAAGCATTGCGGCGAAGGTGACCGTGGAAGTGACCGTTTCCTTTGAGGCAAACCGTAAATCGCGAATATCCGGCCAAGCAACTGCAATATCCTCGATGAAAGCATCATCAAGAGAGTATTTTCCCATGGCTATGAACTTGGCAGTCTTCAGCCTTCTGAACTTGAGCAAGGGCCGGAAAAGGTGGGAAGGAAGTGGGCTGTGCTCCTTGTTAAAGTCTTGATGCGGGGAACGATGATAGCTTTGAATAGATATTTCTTCGAGGGCGAAGAATTGGCAAGACGTCTGCAGGGATAGTACGAGGTTGCCGACTTCTGCCGGTGTAGCATATTTAGTGTAATTGATGTTGATACTTGATAAGTGTGGGGTGATAACACGAGGAAGGAAGGATGTGCAAAGTTGCATGCGATCAGCGGTGAGCCTGAGGCGGTTGAGGGCGCTCAATTCAACTGGCATATCCGTCAATCGTGAGTCCTCCAGAACGCCGGATTCTTCATGCAAAGTAAGTGCCAGGACTTGTAGAAAACGCAAGCGCCCGATATCAGCAATGCTATGCCTCGTTAGACACACGTTGCGGATTATGTGCAGGGTAATCAACTTTTCCAGCTTGTTAAGAGGTAGGTCGATGCGGCAAGGCGAATCGCCGGACTTGGCGGATATCACCAATTGCCGCAGGCCGGAGGCTTCTGCCGGAAAGGCATCAACTAATTGCTCTACCTCATGCGCCGGGAGGCCTAATGGTACGCAGAAGGCGAGCATTTCTAATCTGGGCGAGAGGAACTGGCGAAGTAGCGAGAAGTTTGCACTAAACTCCGCAAGGTTAAACACTACTTGGAAATCCAATGCGACGAGGTTAGGGAAGAGCGAAGTGGGCGGATAGTGGGCGAAAAGTTGTTGTAGGACATGGCGATGCGGTGTTGGGGGGCGCTTTGGATGGCCAATTGGGTTGCTGACGAGCTTGCGTATCCTAGACGCGTTAATTCTGACGCGTTCCCATTCCGTGGGTAGCGGTTCGCGGGAAAGGCGCTGAAAACTGGGAGGATGGTAAGCAGTGTCCTGTCACACGGCGAACACAACTCACCATCAGATTGTCATTTCCGACTTTCCAAGTGTCTTCAGGCAGACACATGATGAGGGGTCCCAAGTTCGACTGTGTACACCAGAGTATATCGAGGGCGGGAGAAGAGACAGCAGAACAAGTGCTTGCAAAGTTTATGACGTCTGTCGCTGACGTGACATTTTGCAAGACAGCGTGAACGATGTCGTCGACTAGTAAAGCGCGATGCATGGTTAACTCAGAAGCTGTTGGTGATGCTCGACCGTTTGAACAATCCTTCATATATAGCCACTGTTACAAAAATCCACAGACCCACAGTGGTTCTGGCACCAGGCTTTGTTTGGGTGGATGGTCCACTCTTGGAGTTCGCAACATCGTTGGATCGATCGGGAGCAGATACAAGCCATTGTTCCACCTGCGGCACAGTCATTGTTCACCACTGCACAAATTTTAAATCACGGTGCATTGGGCTCGTACATCCACAGGGTACTTACTTACGGTGTTGCTGTGCAGCATCGCTGAAAGTAAGGTGAGCGCATAGAATTAAACACGTCAAAACTTGGAAACCTTACCAATTAACTTTGGGAGGAGAGCACCGGCAGGTACCGAATCTTTACATGTCCACTCTGCGCTTTGGTTATCCTCGGTACGAAGACAAGCCAAAGGATTCTATAGGGCCAGTGCTAGAGGTCATCGACTGATCTCTGTCAATTGTGCACAATTGACTCTCGATCCAAGCAATGGTCAGAGTCCGGTGGTCGTGTCCCAAGCGAGTGTCATAGTCAGAAAACGAACATCCATGCAGATATGTTGCGTGGGGGCCGTCGAGGAGAAGCATAAGATCCGTGAGCGAAGAAGCGTTTAACAAGGCGCAACAGAGCAAGTTGAAAATGCAAACTGGAGAATACGTCATGATATCGAGTAGAGACAAGACCAGAGTGCGAGCACAAGAAGCAGGTACGATGCAAAGCATTTGAGGCACGGTATAATCATGTCCTCGGTAGGTTCGGCGCGCCTGTAAATCACGACTGGAAAATGCTCCGGAAACTTTACATACGATTGTCATGTTCCCCCAGGTCTTCATTCAAGTATGCGATGAAATGATGAGTTCGGAAGGGATAGATGCCTGTAGTGTGTCAAAACTGCCGAACAAATTTGGAATCTGCTAGACATACCACCTTCTGCACCAAGCCCATCCCGAGTTTGATTGCCGTGGGTCTGACCACGATGCGTACCAGAGTTCCTCGCCCAGGTGACACGGAGATAAGCTCTCCGATGCGCCTCATTGAAGGCCTTATCTCCGTGTCCCCCTGCATTGTGCATAAGCGTGACGGAAGGCGTATTTTGCATGATTGTATGTGTAAGACTGTCTTGGAAGGACCCTGCAGGAATAGCCAAAGACGATCAGGATTCAGCATCAAGCGGGAAAACAAGTCCAAGTTTATCATGATCGTGTTGATCCACAACATGATGTGGGAGATGGTTGTGCAGAAGGTCATGACGCTGGAGCGGTAGGCGACTGGAAACTGAGCCTGCCTCTGGCAGACTGAGTTGATGATGAAATGCCCGAAGACTTTACCATGATGTTGACTGAAGCTCAACACTCAAGTTGTGGGAAGCGGGAGGCAATAAGTAATCCATCTTCCTCCTATTGCAGAAACCCTTGCATGTACTCTTTTGAGAAGCAACGTGATTGCCCGTAGGGAGCCAGTGTTTCAGCCTTGTAGGTTATCAGTGAATCTTGCTTTTGAGCGAACACAAGATCATGCGTCTCTAGATTCTGGGGATATTAGTCTAACCACATGATAATGTCATACTCAAGTATACACCCGTAGGATCCTCATGAGCAGTGACATGTACCAACCTGTCAACCCCCAAACTTCTAAGCGTCCCTCCTTCCCACCACCCACTTCCGGTCGTCCTAATGGATCGCTTACTCCCTCGAACCTTTCCACAAGGTCAGAAACATCAATAGCCCAATATGGGTTGGCGGCGCGGAACATATCAGGACCTGATACGTGCAGGGGACACAAATGCGGAGAAGGGAAGGTGGAAGACGGTTGCTACCTCGGGCTGGGATACTGTGAGCGAGGAAAGCGAGATAGAGGGCAAGGGGTCGTCTAGGGACCAAGTATCCGTTCCATGGGCGCCGGGTGGATATACAAAGCCCTAAGCTCCCAATTTAAGTCGAAAATAGCACTCATGGAGAGTGAGATCAAACGTACAACATAAGGCCATACCCTAAGACCCATAAGACTTCGGCTCGGGCGGGCCAAATTGGCCAAGAATATCGATCTGCCCAGCATTTAGACCTACTTCTTCTTGAGTTTCTCTGAGCGCAGTGTCTAGGAACGAAGCGTCTGCCTACGCGTTCGGTTTAGTAGGAAGTACAGAGATTCTTGAATAGACTCACCTTGGTCAACCCTCCCCCCAGGGAAGCTAGCAGCCATTCAGTATGTTGAGCTGCAGGAATACTCGACAGCTCGAGGGTGGGCCATACCTGACTTCGCCAGCGTGGGACCTCAGCTTTCCGCCTCGCAGTTCGAGCAGCACGCCAGGTACGCCGTTGACAGTTGCATAACGGAACAAGGACTGCTGCATTGACTTCGCCTGGGATCACCACCTGTCTTGAATGTTGTTGCGTGCGCGATGAGGGCGCTCTGGAGCGTGCGTAGGGAGTTGCGGGTGAAGGGGGACGTGAGGGATATAATGGAGGTAGTGGGGTGAACGTGGGTGGTTGATGCATGGGCTGCAGCTGTCATGAGCTGTCCTGGACAACATCTCTCCATGATCCTACAAACAGACGAACGTAGATAGACGCAGATATACTGGAGTACTATGATGTAGTTAGGCTGTTCGCATTTTTCCGAGTGCATCGGGGCATGCCGCTTCACGTGCATAGCCTAGTACTTACTTACTTTAGCTATATGGGCGCTTGTTCTCTGACAGTGATGTGCACTGAGCTGACTCGAAGTGAGGCAGTAGGTGGGAGGTTTCAATACTTACTAGAAACTATTAGGTGACTGATCGCATATACGTTCACCACCAGCAGGGCATCATGGACATGTGCTCTATTCTCAAGGCTGTTGTACTGTACAGCCTCGCCGTGACTTTGGCTGGGAATTGCTGTGAAATTTGTGGGTTCACTTAAGTAGCACTAGTGCTCACTGTATCAGTTCCCTTCTGTGCGCCAGTGCTCAATTTTCTGTTCCCTGCGTGCATTTTGACTCTGAAATCACTCCATTTTGCACTCATTACGAGACTATTGACAGTGAGATGGGGCAATGCCTGTGTTGCACCAATAGCATCAACTCGATGGAGCTCGATTGCGTCATCGAGGTCAGTCAGTATGCCCCGCTGCAGGAATCTGTCTCGAAGGCTGTTAACAAGGTTGTTGAGAGATGAGGGTCGACGAGGATGGTCAGGGGGGCGGAGCTCCAGTGCAGCTCAATGGAGCTCGATGGCCTCATCCAGGTTAGACAACATTCCCTGATGCTTGAATCTGCTTTGAAGGCAGGCGGCAATATTGTCGAGAGATCTAGATCGATGAGGATGACCAGGGGGGCAGGGCAGCTCGATGGTGCTCAATGGCATTGTCCAAGTCAGACAGTGTGCCCCGCTGCTGGAATTGTTCCTCAAAGCACATAGCAAAGTTGTTGAGAGACATGACTCAATCAAAATGGCCAGGGGAACGGAGGAGCAGTGCAGCGCGATGAAGCTCGATGGCCTCATCCAAGTCAGACAGCATGCTCTGCGGCTGGAATCTGTTTCTAAGGACGAGGGCAAGGTTGTCTTAGCTATCCATTTCAACGATAGACGGGGTTCCAGTGTCAATCATTGCAAGGAACCAACACACATTTATGTCCCACGGAAATGCTTCAAAAAGCGTCTTCCGTTCCCTCCCACCTCCAAAGTGAGAGATAGCGTTCAACAATTTCAAAGAAATGAGAATAAGTTCATTGGAACCGGAGACGTAAGACGTGATTCTACGCATCCATTTTGGGGACAACAGCGTTTTGATAATTGGAATGCCGTGCGAGTGGTATGGGAAATGAGAGTACAGCAGAGTGAGAACCGACGATAGCAAAGACACAAGAAGGGATTGACTGGACGACTGGTGCATTGCGACATCAATATGCTGAGAGAACGAATTTAGAACGCACGCACTTGATTGCTACTCTCCCATAACTCAAAAATATCATGAGCACCTGGCGAACTCTCCATCCACTGCACAACAAGCGCGACTCTCTCATCTTGAGGACCGATAGTTTCCCCTGACTTGACAGACAGTGTCGAACGCAATGCAGATAGGGCTGCATGACTGAGTGAATATTCGGTGCAATGACGATTGTAATTCTGCGCACCTTCTATTTGAGCATTCTGGTCTTGATTCTGAAGAGCGCGTCTGAGATCAGCTGCATTCGAGGAACCTATACCCTTTCCATGAGTTTTGGTCAAGTTTTGCGCGTTTCTGGGGGCGCTCGGGCTTGTTCTGATGCATGTTATGCTCGTAGGGTTAATTACTGTCAACCACTCAAGTCCATCAGTAACGAGACCTAACGAGACGCGGCACACGAAATCTTTGAATTTTACATCTGTCACGTGATCATATAATTATCAAGAATTTGGTTTACACTATGTGACCAGCGCGTCTTCGACGCGTCGAACACTCCAAATTCATTCGACTCATTCGTTGAGTGCATGGGCCATCGATATATGTATTATGTAGTGATGAGGTATGAAATCTCTCTGAATCATACCTGAATGCTTGCCTGCAGTGCCGCATACAAGGGGACGCGTCGGCTCTGGCTGTGTTGATTCACGTTGATTGTCTCGGTGACCTGAATCTCTCGTCGAGTCTCTGATGACGTCGGTGACGCATTGATATTATGGCCTCTGCAAGAATCCATATTTGGCAGATTCACCCCTTTGTTGTGTCGACAACCAAATAATGTCAGCCGCCGTCCTGGTGTATATAAACTAAACTCCCTCCGTCCTGTTTCACTCCTTCATCCGCTCTTCCTTCTTTTATTTTATCTTCACAGCACTTACCTTGCGCGAGCTCATGCCAACGTTTGAGCAAGGTATGTGGCGTGCGACTCAGAGGTCATCCTACCGACACTCTTGTCCACTAGCAGACCTTAAATCTTGCCGCCGAATGCCACATTGTACGTTTCTTGCTCATAGTGCATCATGTGTGTCACACGACTAACATTCTCTTGATTGCGCCCAGGTATGACGGCGAGCTTACACTGGACACTGCAGGTATGTCCCCTTCTCGCCGCCTTCTCACGTGTCTACTGACTGACATCGACCATGCCCAGGTTGCGGCAACGAGATTTACGGTTCGATGACGATCGATAAAATCAATGTTCTGACCTTCGCGAGCGTCGTTCGCGGTGTGGACGGCACAGGTGTCCTCTGACCCTCAGCTCAACTGGTCAATTCGCCGAGGCTCTCAGTGGTCGACTACTCTCCACCCTGTGTCTTCTCAGCATCTACCCAGTCTAATCGCTGGTCCGTATTGTGGTTTAGGTACCCCTGCAAACGTCAATCCAACACTCTTGTAGCTCCGTAAGCTCGGGCGCGAGATGAGGGGGTATGCTCCATGTTCATCTTCTGCCTCCACCCTGCCACTTACATTGTGCCATCTTCAGGGCATCTACGGTCGCTATCGTCCACGCCGGGAACTTGTGGATGGCTCGGGATGATGGAACTTGGGTCCCCTGTTCTTTAAACCGAGGACGCCTACCGAGTAGCTCAATCTTTTGGTTGGGTTGAGGCTGCAGAAGTTTGGCTGACGTTCTACCCCATTCGCCGATTATCCTCAGTGACGGCTGGGGTCTGGCAGCGGGCTTCCACGCTTCATGTATGTCTTTTTCTCGCCTCCTTCTTGCCTGCCTACTAACCGACGTCTATCACGCCCAGGTTTGATGCACGCCTTAAATCTTCAAGTTGCCGCCAGACACCACATGGTACGTGCCTTGCTCATAGTGCTTACAGTATCCCGACGACTAACATTCTATTGACATGCGTGAGTGGTGAAAAATCCAATATATGACGTGAAAAGGCCTGAAACGTTGGTTTGTTCCCGACAGCGGATTCGAGCTGGCATTGACCTTGCTTCAGGTGGAAATCTGCTGGCATTGTAGATATTGTTCGTTCGAAACGGTGGATAGGTTCTTCCTAAACCGTAAATAACAATGTTCAGCACAATAAAGCAAGCCATCTTCACGTACAATGCGGTCTTCCTTTGTCCTCGCCGTTGTTGCTGCTTTGACAGCAAGTTCAACAATATCTGCTGACAATGACTGTCCTTGGTTGTGCCTGTTCCAAAAGGACTGCCGGTGTTTAACCACATGACTCATCGGCGTGGTAGTTCTTCGAGTGCGTTTCATGGTTGTCTCACTCGCAAGTCATGAAGCGGACTACACAACATAAATCTTAGTTCAGTTCTTCCTGCCTAAGTTTGAGGGGGCAGAGTCCCACTAGTAATATAGAGTCCGCAATTTTTTCGAGTGTGGTTATGAGTTACTTGAAGGTGTGGGATACGGATTGGAGGCTGAGCTCATTGACGGCCAAACCATATCTTCAAGGTGGCTGAAATGCAGAAAATCATCCATCTGGCAGCCAGCTGTCTAAACGATAGGTTCAGAAAGGCTTAAACTTGATCCTGGGATCACATTCCAGCCGTGTATCTGCCGTCTGAAATTTCCGACAACACACAGTGATTGGTTTGTGCCTGACAGCGAATTGGAGCTGGCATCGCAGATATCATCCGTTGGAAAGGGTGGATAGGTTCTTCCTAATCCACAATGTTCAGCACATAAAAGCAAGCAATCTTCCTACTATCCCCTTTAGATTTACTTGATCCCATATCACATCTTCATCAACAATGCGTTTTTCCTTTGTCCTCGCCGTTGTCGCTGCTTTGACAGCAACAAGATCTGTAGCATCAATACCTGCCAGTGACCCGGACAATGACTGTCCTTTGTTGTGCCTGAATTTTAATGACTGCAAGCACTGCTATGACTCGAATGTATGCGTGAGTATGAATAATTTGCGTCCTGTGTTTAACCACATGACTCACCGGTGTGGTAGTTCCTCTTCGGATGCGCTACATGGGCCTAGCCTGATGCATGTCACCACACTTTGAGAGGTTATTTAGGTTGGGGAAGATGTTAAGTAATGGGCGAATTTTCGCGAGATAATGAAGAGATAACACAGCGGCGGTTTCTGAGTTTTGCCTCAGGCAAGATTTTAATCAAAATGAGAATGAAAAATTAGCCATTTGTACTTTGAATTTTATCACTGGGACCAAGAGGTGTGCATTCGGCGAATTCCGAACATGGGCTCCTACCAGCACCTACTACCCAATCGGTGTCTGGGGTCCATATTTCAGCCACTTTGGAGAAAACGTCACTCTTACTCGAGTGCTCGCCTGATTCTTTGCACAGCGACCACAAAACTCAACGAAATCTTTCCGTTCCTTGACTAAGTAGTATCATAGTAGTACATAGAATACCCCTAGATAATTCATTTGAATATACATTTGCTGTGAGTAGCACACCAAGAGACACAAGTTGTGAAGCAATACCATCAAGGATTTCTAAATTGAGCTATGATGCAAATGATCGAGTCACCATGTTTTACATCATATAGCGTGTCCTGCTTGATATGCATCTCTCTTCTTGCCCACTCCATCACTCTCATTATACCTGTACACCACAATTTTCGATACCTGGACTCTTATGACTTCAATGGATTATACCACGCATGATAGACAGGCTTACTTTACGTCCCAGGACTTCAAACACTGCCTTACTTACAACGAGGCACAGTTCAATTAAGATAATGATCCTGCACCCAGCCAATGCCCTGGTGTGGGTGAGGAAAATAGACTCTGGGGTGATTCAGATGTCTAACAAGGGTGCGAGGCAAATACTTGTCCCAAGGGGATTGCTACTGGGTAGCAAGTCCTCAAGTAAGTGCGAGGAAAGCAAAGACTAGACTCTGTCTAGCGACCAGAAGGGTTCCGGTCCTTACTAGGACTGGGAACGCACTGATGCAGAAGGTATGCGACAAGCGGAACAAAGCACGCAATGAACGGAACAAGCACACAACAAGCGGAACTAATGTGCAACAAGCGGAACTAATGTGCAACAAGTGGAACTAACGCACAACAAGTGGAACAAACAGAATTAACAGAGGGAAAAGGAAACTATGAGCATGTACGAGGGAGATTGGGTGAAGTCAGACCAGGCTTGTGTCTGGTACTTGCTCCAAGTTGTTGGATCCTGTCATATACCAGATCCGACTGCTCCGATACTGATATCTGCCCCGCTTTCCAACCCCCTCTGCCCCATCCATCCTCTGCTCCACTCTATCACAAAACCCACATTCCGCCCTACGCTTCCGCTCAACCGCTCAACCGGTCCCCTTCCATAAACCTCTCCATTCAACTGGATCCCTTTCCCCTTTTAGACATATACTTTCCCCTTTGGTACATAAACTCTTACTTCCGGATCACCGGTAATTCCTATTACCACCCAATTGCTGATCCAACATGTACATATTGATATCCGCTCCGACTTATGTCTTCGCCTATGTAAAGTACTTACAAATTATATCCTTGGTACATAGCTTTACTACATAGTTATCCTGATCACTGCCTCACATAGAAGTATATAACATATCCTGTACTTAGATATTTTCCCTTAGTCTTGATATTACTTGTCTTCTCGCAGTTACATCTTGTGAGAATTCTCAGTAGGACCTTGCCTCCTCTGGACACAAGTCTCAACTTGTCGTCACCTCCGACCCTCTGATCCCCCGCTCTGACTTAGAGCCATGCTCTAAGTCTTTTCCATATACTCCGCCCCTATCCAATATTCTCCCTTGTCCCTCTGCATCATCCTCCGCCTTCTCCGCCTCTGCCAAACATTCCCCCTACTCCTATTCCCCCTCCACATCAACCCCCGTCTTCTCCGCTCCACTCCTAGTCGGCCCGCCGCTAGCAGCTCTTACTTCCCGACCCTCAAAGTGGACCAAAGCGGTCCATTTGTCCTATCGTCAGACAACGTCGGACCCGCTCCAAATTCGGGGCACATACTCGGCTAAGGGCGCAGCGCAAGAGCTGAAGCCAAGCCCCGACCCCTCTGCCTCTTGAGCTGGCACGGTACCTAACAGATCCAATGTCAGGTGTTTTGAGCGGAACTCATGGATGCAGGAGTGTTGCAATGAGATCAGGAATAGATTTGGGAAGATTTTTTAAACAGTGGGTGGAGTACTGGGAAGTACTCTGTAAGTGGAAGTGGAGTTGAGTCTATCAAAAGGTAAAAAAACTAAGATCCCATCTATTGCTATCTATATAGGAAGGGGTTCTGGAAAGCGCTATGCTACAACCAGGTGAGGCTGTGAAATAAGGAACCAGTTCCAAGTAGCAGAAGGATCCATATAAGTATCATAACACATGTGAAATGAGATAGCAACATGTCAGTAACATGGGGAACGTAGCGGGTACTCACCAGTGAGGATGGAAGGATGGAGATGGGACAGGAGAGGACATTCTGAAGGCTAAAGGGATATGATGTGCATGGTGTGTGGTTGTTCCGCTTGGTTCCATGGTGTTCCGCTTAGTTCTGTGTAGCAGATGGGTCAGATAAGACGCGGATGGGTAGCAGAACACATGGAAAGATGCTGGTAAGACTTGGGAATTATACAGGATACTGTTAAGACCATGCTCAGGGGTAAGGCTGAGTCTGAGGGGCTTGGCTTCAGCTCATACACTGCGTCCCTTACCTGAGTACATGCCCCTAATTTCAGATTGTAGTCCAACTCAAGTTATATGAGTTTTGACAGTACGTCAGAGTGGAGGTCCTCTGAAGGAGGGCCGACGGACTACTAGATAAGCGCGGGAACATTGGGCGGAGGTTGGTCCGCCCAACAGGGGAGAGTCAGAGGGCTACTGCAGACGGAGCTAACAGTAGGAGTGGAGTGGAGGAGACTGCTCGGATGAAGTCTGAAGCAGAATGGAAACACAGAGGACAGAGGTATGAGAGTACTAGTCGTAAGTCCGACGCGTGGGAAAGGCGGCGGAGGTGTGGGAAGTCAGATGAGCGGAGGAGGTGGCCGACCTAGGGAGTCAATCCCCTAGGCCAGCAAACAGGAGTTGTCAAGGGGTTTGCCCAAGAACAAGGACAAGAGAGCAGGGCTTAGAAAAGGTAATATTCAGACTGAGTATCTACAAACAAATGTACATATTTTTATATACTCTAAGTGATGAGCATAGCATAGGGTAGGGATATGGTGTTGGAGGAAATAGGGGTAGTGTCGGAGGAGCGGAGCAGAGTCGGGCGGAGGTAGCAGGGCTAGTCCTACTGAGATGCACTTCGTGCATTGTTGGAGAAGGAGGGGTGGAGCGGACAGGGAAACAGGGGGTCGAACCAATAGTAGGGATGTCTATGAATGGTGTTGGGAGTGGCTGAATCAGGTATATGACAGATATGGGCCTACAGTGGGGACGTTCCCCACACCGGTTCTTCCCTTTACACTGCTTATCAGCTTAAAGCTTGCTTAGATTCTTATCTGGAATCACACCCATCTCCACATTCCTCACCACCATCGCCTCATAATTTTGCATCTGGCTGTCATGAATGTTACCAACTGCATCTAAATTTCGATTATCGAACCCTAAGTCACCTTATCCGATAAGATTAGATTAGATAGATCCCTGATAAGATAAGATGGATAACCGATTAACGATCACTATCTTTACATCACATCTATACTACATCAACGTCATCCATCTATATCCGTAACCCTAGACATACGAACTCATTACATCCTTAGAAGTCCTACGATTAGGCAACGGGTTACATCATAAGCATCTACATGCCTCTATGATCGAACCATAACCGAGAGTCCTTTACGAGCTATCTCTCGAAGAGTCATCATTCCTTCACATCGCACACCTTCACTTCTCATGACACGTTAAGAGTTACCTCTGTCATTCACCGAACCCCTTACATTAGAACCTGTTGCACAGTCACAGCTAAACCCTGAACCCCTATCACAGAAGCATCGCTCATAGAGAAGCATGTTCATTACCGAAGACCCTGGAGAACCTTTAGATCCGATCGTACCCGATACATCTCCAGATCCTATCTAGATCCTCAGATCTAGATCCAAGATCCCATCTCTTATCGAGATCCTAATCACTGCTCGAGACTTCTTATCACAGAACTCTCTCACACCTTTCTTAATCTCTGTCTACCCTGAATAGAAGCAGCCCCTGAGAACCCTGCTTAATCACCGATACCCCTAGCCCTAAGAACCTCTATGAACCTTTTCCCCTTTCTCCTTGTAGTTGATTGGTTGATAAGACGCCCTATACCCTAGGTGCAATGTTATGACCGAATATAGTTATATCACAACCTTTCATACTCAGATATCTCCGCTTAGAGAGTAGTATATAGTTTAGGTCATAGTCAGTAGTACTCCTTAGACTTAACCTCCTCGTTTCTACGTCATCGTAGGGCCTAGACGTTCCCTCTCAATTCTATCCTTGCTTTACTCTCTTCAGACTGAGTCCTGTGGTGTGATCTAGACTCCAGACACCTACTAGTTAGGTTAAGGGACGCTGGTCATAACACTGGCAGTCATTCCAACTCGTTACCATCTCTCAACTCAAATGAAAAGTAATGTCTCATTGAAAAAGGCACCTGTGACGCATACCTCCACTCTATCAGTACAGTGAACTTAACACTTGACTGTCTGACTCCAAGTCTTGGGAGTTGCAGTGCCCTGACAAAGGCTGTTGGGTCAAAACAGGGATCCACAATCACATTAACCTCACAAGCTGGGGCCAATTCATGCCCTTAGAAAAACATTTTGGATCACGTGTTTGTATTTCTCAAAAGTCTCTTCAAAATCAGGCTGTGTGCAACTCTCACGCAACTCTTATCACCATGGTTCTTCCACCTAAATGCCCCCAGAATAACTTGTAAGCTTATTTTACATATGATGGTTGTTTTCTGATGGTGTATAGCACTGACACTGCATCTTTGAGACTCACACTTGTTGCATCTACTTCTTGTTGTATTGGTCTGGCTATGATGGACTGGCCCACGCTGCCTGGAGTGCCTCCTGAGGCAAATTTTCCTTGGTTGTGCACTCGGGATGGACTGGATAAGCTTCCATTCAATGTCAACCTTGTTGATGGTGTCCTTTACGCATGCTCACCAAACTGCACTCAGGCCACTGACAATGACTCCCCTTGCATCCTATGTCAGCAACTTTGATCATGTGTTCATTCACTTGCAAACCTTGCTAGAGAATGCAAAAATCATACCCGTCATAGTGTGCTTACATCAATTCAGCTTCTTGATGTGATCAATGAGCACAATGTCAACTTGAACAGTGTTAAATTACAGGTACACAGTTTTCTTTCTCAGTTTCCATCTCTCACATCATTTTAGAGTCTCAATGATGCTCGCAAGATCAAACATATGCTATCTGTTATAGAGGAACATTTGTCTCTGGTCATGGCACTCCCACAATGTGATGTGCCATGGCTCCGTAATCTGCTCCAAACAGTGCTTCATAACAGCACTAGTGTTTGTACAATTCTTCGACTAATTGAGGATGCTCTTGAGCGGGGTTATCGACCATGAACCTGTGGTAAGGAGGGTTATGATCTCACCTTTCTCATACTCCGTCTGGGGGGACACAACCTCCTATATGCACTCATCCAGCGCCTTTCACTACCATCTTTATGAACTCTTGGTCAACACACTTCTTTTGTTAAGATTGCTCCTATCATTGGCCAAATCACAATGGGTGTCATCCAACACAACATTGTGGCTGTTGTTCTAGCCCCATGGGTGCAAGCAGGTCTCAATACCCTTCGTGGCATGAGCTTTCTCATAGATGAGATGACACTTGAGGAAGCCGCTGGTTATTTATCGCAGTCTAATTTCATTGGTGGCCTATGCTGGACACATTCCCATCTTGTCAACACCACTCTCAACAACTACCAATCAGCTCTCAGTGTTTCTGACGCGCTCAAATCAGGCAAAGTTCATCTTGGCAAGGAACTAACAGTTGCTGGTGCTCATGTGTTCAGTGAAGATGGAATCTATTCCATACTTGCAGTGCCAACATGCAAGTCTGAGAACTTCACTCACATGGAGTTCATATTTGAGTTCGGGGGTTCACATCTGTCAACAAGAAGGTGGATGTTGATGAAGTCTTGAATATCCTTCATGACAAACATTTTGTTACTGGTAGCTTGTTTCTCACCCTCATCCGTACTCAATGCAAGGTCCTTTCACTTGCACTTGCTTGTGCAACATCAATATCAGAAAATGGTTTGTTTCATGGAAGAATTAATACTGCAACATTGGTGTCTCCATGGAGTAATGTGAAGGTAGTTGGGGAGATGATGGTCCTCCTTCCTTCAATCAATTCCACTCCCAAATCATCTACCTTATGGGTCTGGAATGGCGGGTACCTCAAAACCACTTCGCCCATTCTAGGAACAAATTCTGTCACCCAATGGGTTGTCACATTAAGCAACCCAGGCCATCTTCTTGAACTTGCCAACCCCTGTGTTGTCAACGCGCTTGAACATCTCACACCAGACCAAGCATCTGAAGTCAACTCAAAGGGATTGAGTTGGGTGCTGAGTAATGACAGGCTGGAAGCTGCAGCTGCTTCAGTCTGGATGAAGATAGTTGAATCAAAGGTTCCAATAAACTCAATTGTAGCACTCAGCAGCGAGAGCTCCATGTTCCTGTACAAAGATCTTAATGGTAAGTCTCACAGTGGCATCCCAGCAGTACATCATTTTAATGATGACATTCTTTTACTTACAGGCTCAGATGCTCTTGTTTGTGTGGCTGGAACTACCATGCTGGCAGCCTCAGGACGTGGAAAGGGAGTGGCAAGTGCTTGCCCTCTATGCAGCGAGGCAACAAAAGATCTGCATTCACATATGGGCGGCCACATCCTTCGTGCTGCCCGCAGAGTTCCTGAAAATCTCACAACAGCTGTTTCAGGTCCACAGCCATGTGGCTTTTGCGGTCGTTCTGGTGTCGCCAAGTATGCAGTTACCTTCAAGGAATCTGGATGTTCAGTTGCTTGGGAATCACAATGCCCACACAAGGAGAATTTCCAGTACAGCAACGCTAACAAAGGCTCCGACAACCACCCGTGTTGCAATGTTCCTGTTGTCTGCAAGCTTTGTGCACATCAAAACCGTCAGACAGACTGGAGGCCAGCAATTTGGAGGTACAACCTTGAGGCCCACATGAATGAGCATCACCCAGAGTACGCACACCCTGGAAAATCTCATAGTGGCCTTCCTCTTCCTACCAATATGTTTGACACTATGATGCTTACTCCCATCAAACCAACAAGGTTGGGTGTTCTGCCTTGACCTCTATTCACCCTAACTGTCCCAAATTCAGAGAAGGAGAATATCCCAGCCAGTGTGAGTGGTTAAAAGCACAAGGGTGATGCTCAAACATTTTCTGCTGCTGCTTCTTTGAAGAGGGCCCAGCGTGCTTAGCCTTAGATTTATTTTCCATGCTGCCCTTCCTTCCTACTACTTACATGCATTACCCCTCACAACTCTTACAACTTACAGGCTCTGTTTTTGCAACATTTTTGTCATGTTTTCATTATGCTTTTGCTATGTCTAGCATGCGTGCTCTCGCATCTCATATGTATTGTAGCAGTTTTCCAGGTCCTTGGTTCCTCAATTGTGTTCAATCATTTTGCATTTCTAAGTGACAAAACATAAATAAGTAAGGATATTTGTGCCATGAAATTTGACAGTCACGGTACTAGTACCACCCACAGAATTTCAACATGTCAGTGTCTTGATTCTTTGTATCACACACCTCTTATTGGGAAGTGATCAGTATCAAGTCGATCAATCAAGTCAAGTAATCAATTGATCAACAGGTTTAACTACAACTCACCAACATATCCACACTTGCTCAAGGCACAGCAGACTATGTACTCTCCTGTACGTGGTCCCCATTTTAATATTACTATTGCTGCCTCATGATGGTCATTGGGATTGTGGTCATCCAATATGAATGCACATAGACAGTGAGGTCCTTGGAACTGGTGAGATTTTTGATATGCTACAAGGTCAGAAGGGATGACACGCACTCCATTGTCATCAATTGGCCTGGACCCAAGGAATAGGTAAGATGTTCAATATAATCCTTTACTATTTGGCTAACGCACCAATACCATACAACCAGCATTTCTCCAGTCTTGCTGTCTCCTAGTTCAAGCATAACATTTATACTATTGCTGACTTGAGTGACAAGCTTTGCTCACTGACACTTATGAAGTTCATCAGCAGTTGAAATGCTGAACTGTACATGATCAGGTGTCATATATGCCAGGCGGATCAGACTTGTGTAGAATCTGTTGCACAGTCCTTAGGCTACTGATCTTTTATACTATTTAATGTGCTAGCCTACTAGGTCCAGGTTTATATTGTTTAGCACTTGTTAAGACCGTGCTCAGGGGTAAGGCAGAGTCCAAGGGGCTTGGCTTCAGCTCATGTGCTGTGCCCCTTACCCAAGTACGTGCCCCTAATTTTGGATTGTAGTCCAACTCAAATTCTATGAGCTCTGACAGGACGTCAGAGTGGAGGTCCTCCGAAGGAGGACCAATGGACTACTAGATGAGCATGGGAATGTCGGATGGAGGTTGGTCCACCCGACAGGAGAGAGGTGGAGGACTACTGCAGTCGGAGCTAACAGTAGAAGTGGAGCAGATAGGACTGCTTGTGCGAAGTCTGAAGCAGAGTGGAGATGGAGAGGACAGATGTATGAGAGTATTGGCCACAAGTCCGAGGTGCGGGAAAGGCGGCTGAGGCGTGGAAAATCAGACGAGCGAAGAAGGCGGCTGACCTAGGGAGTCAATCCCCTAAGCCAGCAGATAGAAGTTGTCAAGGGTAATGCCCAAGAACAAGAACAAGAGAGCAAGGCTTAGAAAAGGTAATATTCAGACTAAAGATCTACAGACAGATGTACATATGTTTATATACTCTAAGTAAGTAGCATAGCATAGCATAGCAGAAGGCTATGTGCTGAGTGTATGGAATTACTAGAAAGATGACTGAGACATATGAGAAAGGGGCTCGGAGAACAGTATGTATCCAACAGATCAATAATCATTTGGGTATAGGGATTACTGGTGATCTGAAAGGAGGAACTATGATACTAAAAGGAGATAGGACCAGTTGAGTGGTTCCTAGTCTAGAAGTGGACTGGTGAAGCGGTCGGGCGGACCAATAGTTGGGTGGAGTGACATGAGAGAAATTGAAGGAACCCCATGGGTCGGAAAAGTGGAGATGGTGGAGGGAGTAGGAGTAGGATTAGGCAGACCAATAGGGCGGAGGAGCAGAGCTCCAGATAGGGTCGGATGGTAGGAGTAGTGTTGGAGGAGTGGAGCAGAGTTGGGCAGAGGTAGCAGGGCTAGTCCTGCTGAGATGCACTTTGTGCATTTGTTGGAGAAGGAGGGATGGAGCGGATGGGGAAATAGGGGGTCAGACCAGCAGTAGGGACATCTATGAATAATATTGGGAGTGGTTGAATCCGGTATATGACAGCACTACCTCATCATGAAGATGATTATCCAGCGAGTCATTGGGGCATCATTTTGGCACAGTTACTGATGTGTGCCATCATACTTCCCAATTGAAGCTTCTAAGTGGGTTCTGCTTACTGCCACTGTCAGGGTTATCCAAGTCCTCATGGTTTGATATGATGTTTTCAACAGTATTTTGATACATGTGTGCCATTTTATTTCCTAATTGAAATTCCTGTGTGAGTTCCATGGACTTACTATGTTGGACCAATTAGTACTACCAGTAAGCACTTAAGCATCCAACCCATTCAAGCAGACTAATGCCCATTGGACTAAGGTGTTTCCGTCACCTCAGACCTAAAAGTAATGGACAAATCATTGGCATCCTCCTCCTATGAGATCCCAGCAGGATATTCAACCATTTGTAGGTGCAGAAGAAGCTTCACTCAGCTAAATGCATGTGCAAATCATCAGTGGATGTAAAAAGAGGAAGAAATACCTTTCAAGTGTGCTAGCGAAGGCAAAGGAGGTGTGGACTACAAGGAAAAGACCACATAGAGAAGATGAATGTGATGAGTTAGCTCTGAGTCTGCCTCCAACCCAGTATGACTTGGATACCACAGCTCCAAGTCAGACTTTGTCCATTAGTCCTGAGCCAGTTGCTGTTGATGGAGTGGAATGAAATTCATGGTCAAGATTGGACCTTGCAGTTGCAGGTGCAGATGATATTGAAATTGAATGCCATGTGAGTGTCATAGTGAATATCAACAATATTATGATTGACTGGAAAATCAGCATGGTCTTTTAGGATGGGTCTGGTCCTTCAGAATCATCACTTGGGGTTGATGATTCAGAGTCGCTTGCTCAGCATCACCCCCAATGCCTCAATCACTATCTTCCTGCATGGTTTCGAGACATTCTTCCTCAACCACCGCCCCCACACATGGCCAAGTCAACTCTGTCAACCACCACAGATCCCCCACCCACCTTGGATAGACATTTACTGCTGTCACACACCCTTCACTTCTTTCTCACACTTCCCAACACTTTTGGACTTTCACATCGATAATATGGCAATCAACTGCCAACTCATGACCCAGAGGAGGTCACAACTTTGGAGAATGTCACTCTCACCGTCGGACCAAGTCGATTGGGATCTTGGCACCTCTGCTTGTGCAATGCAGCAGACCGGCAGGGAAGACATGAACCCTTTCTATCCATATCCAAATAAGTTGTTGTTTCTCCTGGGCAACTGGTTTTGGAACAGTGGTCTCCAGAAGTCCCAAAAAATCTTCAGGGAACTATTACAGATATTGGTGATGCTCAGTTTCGGCCAGAAGATATATCTGCTACGCAGTGGAACTTAATCAATGATAAACTTGGATCTAGTGCTGAAGATGCAGGAGGGCATGTTATGCCATTCAAAGGTGCTGGGTGGAATAAAACTGCAATTAATATAAAGATACCTATTCATAAATGTGCAGATAACCCTGGCATTCATAACTACCTGACCACAGATTTTTTTCACCGATCACTTGTATCCGTCATTCGCGAGAAAATCAAAAATCAAAAACACAACGAAATATTCCACTATCACCCATACAAACTGCTTTGGAATGGTGGACCATTGAAGAAACCCATCTGTGTTCATGGCAAACTGTCATATACCTGATCCAACCGCTCCGATATTAATATCTGCTCCGCTTTCTGACCACCTCTGCTCCATCCATCCTCCACTCCATCCAATCACAATCTGCATCCGCCCCTACGCTTCCACTCGACCGCCCCGACCGGTCACCTTCTAGAACATCTCCACTCAACTGGAACTTCTTTCCCCTTTTAGATATATACTTTCCCCTTCAGTACATAGACCCTTACTTCTGGATCACCGGTAATTCCTCTTACCGCTTGATCACTGATCTGACGCATACATATTGATATCCACTCCGACTTATGTCTTCACCTGTGTAAGTACTTACAAATTATATCCTTGGTACACAGCTTTACAACATAGTTATCCTGATCACTGCCTCATACTTAGAAGTATATAACATATCCTGTACTTAGATATTTTCCCCAGTCTTAATATTACTTGTCTTCTTGCAGTTACTACTTGTGAGAATTCTCAGTAGGACCTTGCCTCCTCCGGACACAAGTTTCATCTTGTTGTCACCTCCGACTCTCCGCTCTGACTTAGAGCCGTGCTCTAAGTCTTCTCCTTACTTCTCTGCCCCTATCAAGTATTCCCCCTGCTCCTATCCACCCTCCACACTATCCTCCACCTTCTCCACTCCACTCCTAGTTGGCCCGCCGCTAGTAGCACTTACCTCCTGACCCTCAAAGTGGACCTAAGTGGTCTACTCATCCTACCGTCAGACAACATCAGACCCACTCCAAATTCGGGGCACATACTCAGCTAAGGGTGCAGCACAAGAGCTGAAGCCAAGCCCTGACCCCTCCCCTTCTTGAGCTGGCACAGTACCTAACAGCAAACTATATACCTCTGAGGCCTTCATTCAGGCGCATCGTGAACTCCAAGAGTCCCAACCTGAGCCTGGTTGTCAGCTAGAGCGGGTCATTGTTGCTCTCATGTTTTGGTCGGACTCAACTCATCTGACCTCTTTCGGTAATTCA